CTAGGCACAGGAAGGGCGAGGAATACACATTATCAGCCCCACAGGAAGGGAACTTTAAGCACCACGCACAGTCCTTTTCGTCGGACATTTCAGAAGCTGTTTCACTCTGCTTTTCTATTTTAGCATACGTGACCTATGTATGTTCAGCAGAAAAACCGTTGGACAACTACTATTCTGCAACCCATCAAAGCACCTGAGGAGCCTTTTTCTGTGCCCTTTGTCTTTATTTTGCTTAATCAATGGCTTAAGCAATGGCTGAAATATTTATGTCTCGCTTTTGATTGTTTTGTATGTCTCGGTTTGTGTGAACAGCTACAAGCACACTTTTTATACACTGCCCAGGATCCTTTTGATGACGGCCAAAGAAAAAGGTCTAAAAAATATAAATCTCCTCCTCCTGCTAGGCATGATCATCAAAAAACCCAGAATGTGCAGGCTGGAATTAACATGCGAGAAAGAACAGGCTCTAATGCCTATCCCTGCCCCACTACCAAACACCTGCATGATTTTCTAAAAAGCAAACCTCTTGGTGTTGTTAGCATCACATGTCCAGTCAGCTTCCTGACCAGGAAAAGCTGTGCTTCCTTTCTCTCCACCGCCAGAAACACATTCTTTTCAATGGAGACCTTTGTGCATGGTTCACTGAGGTTGGGCCTCCACCCTTCAAACACACTGCGGGTGCTTTTCACTACCATGAAACAATACGGACTGGCGCTTGCATCTGCATTCTTTCTTTTCTTTCCCATCCCTTTTCCCTCATTTCGTGTCTTTTAGATCGCTAAGCCAGAGGGCGGGGAAAGCCAATCTGGGAGTTTTTTCCACTGAAGAGTGGGGTAAAATTCCTTAAGCAAATGACTAAACAAAGGGAACCCTCGCGGTGGCTTATAATAAACTATTTCAAATGTCATCAGGATACTGATGAGGCAGCCAATTTAGAAGAGCAGCAGAAAAATATGGAAATGATTGTCCAAGAGGCCAACAAAAGTTAAAACCCTGGGAGGAAGAAACGATTCATCTGGTGCCAGGAAATCTTCAACCTGGTGTCCGTGGTCACCAATGAGCCTCTGGATACTTGGCTGGGCAGCCACCAGGCTCCCTGACCTACCTGAATTTTATTTTAATTTTAGTTAAAATTTGGTACAAGAAATTTACGGGGATGCTTGCATTGGGCTCCACCATCATATTCATGTCTAAAAACACTCTGGGCCCCACATCTGGGAGCATGGTCATTGGAGCAGACAACCCAGAAGAAGAGTGCTTTTGTATCTTCACACTCAGACGACATCTCTGGCTTGGACACAGGCTGTCTCAATGTTTACTTTCCAGGAAATGGGTCTTTTGTGTCCAGCCACGCACACCTTTTTGTCAAGGAGCCACAATTCTAAATGTGCCCACTAGCCCTGCAGGCTGGAGAATTCCAAAGCCCCTTCTGAAAAGGCGGCCTGCCCAGGACACGGCAGAGGGGCCAAGAGACTGCAGAATGGCCAAGCCTGCACCAGCGAGCCCACGTGAAGGGGTTCCACCCTTTGGGTACGGGTGGGGGGGCAGAAGGGGGCAAGCGGCAACAGTCCTTCGGAGGCCCAAAGCAGTGCTCCCCGCTCGCTACACACACTTCTGGCTCTAGACAACTCTGCCCAGATGCTGGAAGGGGCTGCTGTACCGGACAGCACACGAAAAAGGCCACCCTTCCGCCCCTAGCTGTGTGATCTGACAGATCTCCTGTCTTATTCAGTGAGACCCCTTGCCCTTGTCCAGAGCTACCACGACCAAGCACGCATGCATTAGGAAGGTAACTGTGGTTTTGGAAATGGATTGCCAACGCGACCACTCGGCTCAGGCAGTCTTGTGAAATGTCATTCACACCTGGCAATGGCTTCTCACCACCGGCAGGTCATTTTTGCTGGAAGACTGGCTGGGCCAGGATACGAGCAGGAGACAGCAACATCCGAGATCAGATTACTAGCAAATCTTCTGGAAACCACTGGGGGCCGAAATGAGACCAGAATGACGGGGAGCAATTTTCATCTTTCTCATAAAGTGCTGGTATCATTGGGATCTGTGTGTGTCGTACACACACATGCGCGGGTGTGTCTGTCTCAAAGGGGCCAAGGAGCACTAACTATTGTTCTCAGGTTATTAGTCAAGGAGAAACAGATCCATTATTTGGACTGCAATTGTGCCCAGGGTTTGAATTTGAAAAACATGGATGTGGGGTGTGAGGTGTAATGCTGAGTGGAGAACTGAACCCTGCACTGTGTCTGGCGCTGTAACCACTACACAGTATGGTTGTTCCGCAGCATGCTGCCTCGTCCGGTAAGGCACGGTGCTTAGAGCCTTTTAGAGAGCATGCTATTTTAACGAACCTTATTACATGTCCCGGGCTGCCTTACTTCAATTAAAACCCAGCTCATAAATCAGTAATAATGCCTTAGGTCAAGTGGCAACAGTTGATGAATTAAACATGGCTGCACAGAAGCATAACTGAACACATTCCCTGAAGCCAAGTGAGCGTCTAAATTATATTTACAGTGGTATCCTGTGACCGGCTTCAAATATGTGGCCACAAGAAAGTCCAAAGTGAGGCTAAGAACAGCATTTATAATCAAGCTCTCACCTGGATATGGAAAAACTGACAGACCCACTTTTGGTGCTGATATAGATTTTTTAAAAAGTACAACCTTCTTCCTCCTACTCCCCCAAATCTTACAGAATTGGCCTGATCTTACTCACTGATCACTCACAAGTTGGAAGAAGAGCAAAGCTACAAATAAATTTAGGTTTCTGCATGTGTGGCCAAGTCACGGCACAGGATATTATCCACTATTTTCTGTACTACCTTCCATAAATCACACCTGCAGAAAGAATAATTTATGATATTTATACAATTATCCTAGAAAGATGTGTTCTCTCATTGTCAAGCAAGAACTCTGTCGGCTGTTTCAGTCACAACTCTAAACCATAGTTCAGTATTGTGCCATTTATTCTATCAGCACGGAGACAACGGAATTTAGAAATAGTTCCTTTCATTTCAACTTGCAGGTTTCCGTATCATCTGAATGTGGACAAACTGTGGTTAATCTTAACTATAGTTAGATGCAACAAGTCAACTATGACCCTACTGTTTATGAAGCTGCCCACAGCTTCACCTAGTCAACACAGAACAACAACCCGGGGCTTTTCTTAAAACCCTTTTTGTGGATGTGACATGTAAGAGAGGTTAAGCAACCCAGGATATGTTCCACCCCACCCCTGGGCTGTTTAGTGTGACATGTAAATCAGATATTCTAGTCTCTTTTGGGGAGACACAAGCCAAAGTTGGAAGCAGAATGCACCAATTCATTCACCACAAAAAAACCTTGTGGACTGTTATGACCATCTTTTAAGACTCGGGGCAACATGTTAAACTGTGGCTAACACCAAGTGAAAATATAGGATTGCAGTCTCCCATTTATGGCCCCACAGCCATGTCCCCAAGGAGAATCCAAAAAGGCAGGTAGGTAGGTTGATCCGTATCAACAATCCAGCCTTCCTTCTCCCTGGAGTAGGTTTCATAGCATGCATGTGCCTTAAGGTTCCATAGATAGACAGACAGACAGACAGACAGACAGACAGACAGACAGACAGACAGACAGACAGATAATATAAAGATGACTTTGTCATCACTGCTGATAAAAAAGGGCCGGCAACGTATCCCTGTGAGACCTGGCTCTACTAAACCACCACTTAGGGCTCAGCTGAATAAGAGGGGAGAGGACATTGCATAAGCCAGCAGGAGGTTAGGTTTCTTCTCAGAATGCTAAACCCTGGATTAGAATTACATCCAAATGCAGCCTGTGCCATTCACAGGACTGGAGTACTGCAACAGCCACCCAGAAATTAAGGCATGGGTATATTCCGTTAATGGTTATATCCTGCCACTGTTGAGAACTGAGAGGTTTTAGTACTGTTATCTGCTATTTCGTCAAACCTGCTTTTAAAACATTGCTTATATTGTTGACTCAGGACAGGTTTGCTATGACTTCTGGATATTATTTGAACATGTTATTTTTTCTTGCATTACAATTTTCATATATGTATCTTGTTACATTTCTAAACCACCCAACAGTTAAAGCTCTTTCAGAAGTGCAATTTTTGCTACTGAGTCCTGGCAGGGTCTTAGGAATGTAAGTGGAAGGATGAAGATATGTGGAATTGCACCGTAACTAATGTTACAGTCAATCGGTCCGTTTGCATGGCTGGACTGATGTATCTCGCCTGTTATCCAGAGCTGGTAGAGGATGAGAGTGGGGAAGCGATCTGGAGCTACTGTCAAAATCAGTTCTGAGTGGTTGTTTGAGGGATCTTTCTCCCTCACCTGGTGCCTTGTGCCTGCCTGCCTTCCTAAGTTGGAATTGCTTAATAAAATGAGTAAACTACAAGCCTGCATCATAAGATGCACACAAGAATTCTTCTCAGGCATCGCTCTGCAGAATCGAGTTTTCTGAAAAAGGTATGACCCCAACATCTACGGAAGGCGAATTTCAGCAGTGGAACTTCCTCAGCCTGGTTCTCTTCCACATCTGCACAGCATCCTTGGGTCGCATCCTGACCCGGCGACCCAAGCAGGGGCAGGCTGGAGCTGCAGGCGGGTCAGATCTGGCCCCTGAGCTTGACCTTTTTCACCCCAGTTTCAAGCCATATCTGGACTGCATAGCAATTACAATGGCTCCCAGAATGCTCCCCAAGCACCTTGGGAACTGCAGCTTTATTAGGAAGTGAAGCAAAGATGTTCAGGTTCTCATGGAACTAATGTTTGCTGTTTCCTGAGGGTGAGGACCACCCTCAGAAATAAACCAGCTTAAACTGGGAGTAGAAATGGGCAGAAGAGATAATGTAGAAAAGGGAGGGGGCAGACAAGACAGGAAATGAAAATACCGGAAAGTGAAAGTATATGAAGTCATTAGACCAACGGTATAAACCTGAATTTAGCTGATGGCAAAACCTTGTTAATTTGAACTTACCACTATAATATTTTCATGCTCTTGAGTGGTTAGGTTGGTATTCTGAAAACGGAAAACAGAAATCAGTGAACAAATCTTCTTCTTTTTCAAATAAATCAGTAAATAAATCTGGAATTAATCAAGAAGGTCCCCTAACTTATGTTTCCTTTTTCCTAGAGTGACCCAATCAAGGCACTGCCGGCATGCTTTCAATATAGTAGAGTGAGCCGTTCCTTGTTCTTCCCATGGCCCATCACTTTTAATCGCTTAAGTGCATCAGTCTGGACCATTCTCATGCAAGCACAAATTCCGAAGGAGTACCCCACATATGTCACGCTAGGTATCAACTGTCCCTCAACTGAAGCAGATGATCCATAAACAAACATCCCCTGTACCAAAAGGGTTTGTCCAAGTCAGAATAGGAAACAACCTTATACCAAATCAATCCGTTAGTCCATTTAACCCAGTGCTGTTTCCTCTGAGGAAAAGGAACCTTCCAGGATCTCAAGGAATTCTGCCGTACCATCAGGAACCTTTATCTAGAGGTATCAGGAACTGAAAGTGAGACCAATGCGTGCCATGCTTCCATGCTAGCCTTATTCAGGAGGAAGCAGAGCTCTGTGGCCACATCGCAGGGAGATTTCTCTTTCCACAAAGGTAGTGACTGGCCTTGAAAACCGAACATACACACGCATCTAAAACCCAAGGCTTTTAGGATTATGACGCCGGCCAGGTTAAATTATTAAGCCAAGAGATCTCGTTAGAGTGGGGGGGGCAGTCTTCAGTCTTGCTAATTCTACTTCTTTTTTTATTTTGGTTTTTTACCAGAACTCTGCGGTATTCTAGGTGCAAAACAGTGGCCTGAGGGGGATGTGGGTTATGGATATCCACTGGGAATTAAGGAATAGGTTGCTTTCAAGCACACACTGAGCCCACAAATTTGTTTCAGTACCAGAACTGAGCTGGCTGTCCCTTTTCTCCTTCTCGCTCAGACACAAAACCACTCCTGAGTCCTCCTGAAAACCGAACATACACACATCTAAAACCCAAGGCTCCTGGTTTTTGTCAATAGAAACCAACTACAGAGAGGCAATGTGACCAAGAGGTTACCTCTGAGAGCAACTTGGAAACGATCTCAAGAGGAGCTTGATGGATAGATTCATCCTGCAACGGAGAAGTCAGTGCCATGTCCACCAACGTCCGGATCTCCTTCAGAACCACTTCCAAGCGGCTTGGATTACTCAGCACTTTCTTGTACTTGTAGATCTTTTTCTAGGAAAAACAGCAATATTCAGATGTGATGGGAACCGTATGACAACAACTTTCCATACATGTTATGGAATCGAGAAAGCTAAGATTCTGGACAAGAAGGAGAAAGCCCATCTAAAGACAATAGTTCTGTCTCTTCTCACAGCCTTCTGATTTGTTACATTTGTCTTAATATGGGTCCTACCTTCTATAAATGTTCCAAATAATACCCAAGGACTATTCCACTCAATAAAAATAAGTTAAAGGAAATCGATGAGATATACATGCAAGGTCCAAGTGTTGTCCACCAGGCCCCATCCTTGTAGGGATTCCTTTACATTAAGAAGCAAATGTGCACACTTCCAATAAAGCACTTGCAAGAGCAGAGATAAAATAGGAGCGTGCAACTGCCTCCTGGATAACCACGTGAAGCAGTGTAGGGCTGGTATCCTACACACAACTTGGGAGGAGGCAGCAGTAAACACGGTGGGATGTATGAACAAACCACACACAGGACTGGCTTGCGCTTTTGCCACTAAATTGGCCTGCATGAATGAAGCCCGAATCCCATGGACTTTCTTATGCCTTTTTGAGTTAAAAACAACAACAACTAAGGATGCCATCCAAAATTTCCTGTGTCAGCAGGCAAAGAACAAATCTGATCTCCTTTTCTGATCAGGTAATTCCCCCAGAGGACCGTGGAAATGCTGCAGACATACCGTATCTTGACTTCAACAAATGTTTAACGAAGTGCCCCCTGACATCTTGATTAGCAAACTTAGCTAAAAGTAGACTAGGTGGAACAAGTATCAGGTGGACCCACAGTTGGCTACAGTTTTGGGCTCAAAGAGTGCTCATCAAGGGCACCTTCTCAGCCTGGGAAGAGGCAATGAGTTGGGTACTGCAGGGTTCAGTCCTGGGCCCAGTGCTCTTCAACGTTTTTATTAATGATTTAGATGAAGAGTTACCATCCTGGGACTCAAGGTGAAGGACAGTATAGAAAAGCTTTTAACTAACTAACTAATTAACTAACTAACTAATAAGAGGTAGAAGGAATGCTTATCAAATTTGCAGATGACACAGAATTGGGTAGGAGAAAAAATACCCTGGAAAACAGAAACAAAATTCAAATTGATCTTGAAAGGTTAGAGTGCTGGACTGAAAACAACAGAATGCTATTTAACAAGGAGAAATGCCAAGTTCTGCACCTAGGAAAAAGAAACCAAATGCATCGTTACAAGGTGGACAATACTTGGGCATGTTTAGTCTGGAGAAGAGAAGATTGAGAGAATTATTCAAACACTTGAAAGGCTGCCACACAGAAGAGAATTAGGGCCTCTTCTAGATCATTCCTGAGTACAGAATGTGGGGAAATGAGCTCAGGCCCCAGGAAACCAGATTGCAGCTGAATGTCAGGAGAAGCTTCCTGACTGTGAGAGCAAAATGACAGTGGAACCCATGACCCGGGGGGTGGTGGGCTCTCCCACCTAGAGGTATTAAAGATGCAGCTGGCCAGCTGCCTGAGAGGGACGCTTGAGTTCTACACTGAACAGGGAGTTGAACCCTTATCGGCCCCTTCCAATTCTGCAATTACCAATTAGGCAACACTCTGGCTGCCAAGTAGCAGGAGAAAGCAACTTGATTCTGGCAAGGAAATGGCGGCGATGCCCACACAGCATCACCACCTGTTGCATTCATTCACTGAGAAGGCCAGTATCTTGGAGGGCGGAGAGAACACGGGTAAGTGCATTATCACAGGTGGAGGAAATGCCAGGAGGCATCTAAACACAGACAGTTATGGAAGAAGAATGGATGCAAACCCAACAAGAGAGTCAACTCTGGGGCTATCCCTACTTTTTCTCAAGAAGAGCCATGCTAGACCAGACTGAGGGTCTCTCTGCTCTCATTGTGGGGCAACAGAACATGGTGCCTCCAATATGATCCAACATCACCATCACCAGTAATGTGCCTCAGATACTGGAGGTCCCATACAGTCATTGGGACTAGTAGCCATTGACAGCTGTCTCTTTCCAGGTCTATGAACAGGGCTGAGAGGATCCCATAATTGCAGAGTGGGGAGCAGGGTATAAAATAAACCAGGCTTCAGTTCTGTGTTTGCACATTGTCCCTGTGTACGAATCAGGCATTGTGGTTTAAGTAAACAAATCATAAAACCAACCCAGAGCTTGACATTTGTTTGTTCAGCAATTGATTAGAATGTATTTTTAGCCATAATTCCTGGCTCACATGTAACAACAAGCCAAGGCTTGGCTCAAGTGATACTAAATGCTTTCCTGAGACATTGTGAAGGGCCAGATACAAGAACTCTAATTAAATAAAGTTTTTTGCCTCAGTCTTCTCTACCCTACAGGAAAAGAAGAGGGAGTGGGCTTGATCATGGGTGAGCATTTCTGCTTGTACACTTTATGCCAAATAATGGCGTAGTTTTTCGTGCAAACTCACCCAAAGAGTGAGTTAATGAGAGAGATCCAAACTTCCTTACAGAGATGGGCAACCAGCTGGTATAATGAGTGGAAGTCCACACCCTTCTTTCTGTTCTTGTTCACTTGTTTGCGATTTACAGCACAAAGGGCTAGAAAAACACACCCTGTCCATCCGAAGTCTAATGTGAAGAGTCTTCCATAGGTTTGGGTTGATAGTCTGAAAACAGCTGAGCTTGAAAACTCATGGCAAGGGCTGATTTGATTAGGGGCTGCCTTTACATTCATGTGTGTAGAATGAGACGAGAAGCGAATCTGTTGCCATGCTGCCGTCCTGAAGATGACATGCTATAAAACCACACAAGGGCCCCCAGACTGACATATCACATGAGACGCATCATGAAATATAAGTATTGATTTTAGGATTATGATGCTGGCCAGGTTAAATTATTAAGCCAAGAGATCTTATTAGAGTGGCGGGGGGGCAGTCTTCAGTCTTGCTAATTCTACTTCTTTTTTTAGTTTGGTTTTTTACCAGAACTCTGCGGTATTCTAGGTGCAAAACAGTGGCCTGAGGGGGATGTGGGTTATGGATATCCACTGGGAATTAAGGAATGGGTTGCTTCCGAGCACACACTGAGCCCACAAATTTGTTTCAGTACCGGAACTGAGCTGGCTGTCCCTTTTCTCCTTCTCACTCAGACACAAAACCACTCCCGAGACCTCCTGAAATGTTTATGTTCTATGTTTCTGTGTTCTTTCTATGTTTCACAGCCTAATCTGAGCAGGGGTGAGGGAAGCCCTGAGACGTTACAGCACAAGCACCACCATGATGGACTGGACAAAGGTTCTTTCGAGGCTGCTAGCACCGATCTAATCCCCTTGTGAAGTCAGCCAGAATGGTGACCACCAGCACACCCTGAGGAAGTGAATTCCACAATTCAACTATACACACTTTCCGTTTGCTTGGTGTGAATTTCCCACTGATTGGCTCCATGAAATCACCTCACTCTAGTTGCCAGTTTCACGCCATGCATACTTCTGTACCATTGTCTAGCTTGCCTTTTTTTCTAGTCTCAGATGTCACAACCTTTCCGCCTTAATATCCTTTTTAAGGTATAGTGATGAGCATCGCACACCGTATCTCATGTCTGTTCGCATCCTAGATTCGTATGAGAGTAACCTGATCTTGGCAGATCTTGTTCCTGACCATTCACTTTTCTTTTGCTGCCCTCCCGCTAGCTTCCTGACAAGTTGCCAGAGGTCCCATCCACCCCAAAATTCTCTTCACATCATCACCAGCTACCCCTTGGAGCCACTCCTGCTGTTTTTCTCGTGTGCCCCCACCCACCTGTCTTTTAGGGTACATTAACTGATTGAGGACATGCCCAAATCTGTCCATGCCAGGTGGGAATGTTGGACGTGGTGGTACGGAGATCAGCAGTTTGGGGACCCCTATTACAAATGCTGCAATTAGGGCCATGGAGAGTTGGGTCCACATCCTGATTCTGCCATAATGCTCACCCCAAACCAATTATCATCTCTCATCCCAAATTACCTTGCAGGGTCGCTGTATTAAAAAAGGACAGGGGAGGTAGAATCTTGTTTGCCAACCTAAGGTCTTTGGAGGAAAGGTAAGACATAGAAGAAATAAAATGGTTTGTACAGACAGAGGAAACCAAAATATGGTTATTACCGCGCCCTATTGCTTATTTTCTGAATACCAAGCAGGCATCCATATTGGGGTGGTAAATCTCACCCGATGCCCTTTTGCAGGCGCCACCATTTCATTACCCCAACGGTTCCTCAACAGGTTTCTGGGGGGTCTATCTCTCTGCCCCTCCCTTCAGTCTCAGGGAGCAAAGAAGACCTGCTTTAGGGAACGTAAATACCTGCTACGCAGATCACAGCAGTGAGCGTAACATGCTACTTATTGCGGGAGGTCAGTCCTTTGCAAAGAAAGCAAACAAGGCCACACCTTAAAGATGCTCAGTGCTACCGTGGCAGAATTTTGTGTGCGCCAGAGCCCATTCCACCAGATGCTCCCCACCTGTGTGCACAATGCACTCATTCGCCTTCAGACATGCAGCCTCACGGTTGCTGATACACATTCTTCTAAACATTAAGGGCTAAAAACAATATCCCTCCCGATACAAGAAGCATCGCAAACACGCGCCTGCAACCAATGGCCATAATTTCCAGACCTATTTTTCTGGTTCTGTTCTTCCAAGTTGATCCAGGGATTCCATAGAATCCTGAATGAAAAGCGAACGTATTTCAGACTTCCAGGCTGTCTTTCTCTGGCTGATGACAGAGAAATCTTGAGGGAAGGAAGAGATCCCAGAACATCCCTGCATTACTTAGTCAGCCTGTTCACCAAGTACATAACTACTGCAGTGTGAACACAGAAGCAGGTCCCAGCAAACCACCCCAAAAATTCCCAACACAGAACACCATGCATCGCTCCGCACCTCCACGTCCATTTGTGTAGCCCCCTTCCAGCGCTGAGCTTTCTGACCTAAGAAGGATCTGCTCAGAAAGAGCTGCGAGTGCCGGTGATGCAGGTGCTGGACAGCAGCTGCC